TCAATTTGGTGCTTAAAATTTTACAATTGTAGAAAAATTTTTTTTCTCAAAAACCTTAAAGGAGGGTAGACATCAAAAATTTCAAAATTTTCATTTTTACTCAAAAGATATAACTCTGAAGTATAAATATAGCTATGTACTTAAAAACCTGAAAAAAACACTTCAAGGACGAAAAAATGCTCTTTTTTGTCACCCTAATTTCTTCACTAGCTTGCTGCTGCGGCGTCGCTTCATAATGTGAAAAACGCGATGGTCGCCTCTTACACGCGTAGTATAGTGGGTACGCTCTAGGCTAGTATTCAGGAGGTCAGAGGTTCAATCCCTGCTGGTGTTTTTACTTTTTTCTTCCCTTGTTTCCTTCGGATTGAACTTTTTGAACTCGGAATTTCTGAAGGGCTACCAGCGTGCCGCCGAGGCCTCGCTCCGAGGTATCAAAATCAGTTGAAAATGAAGAAACGTGTTTTATTATGTTAACAAATAAATTATGAAAAAAACTACAATTAATTTTTAGAAAGAGACATAACAATTGAAAGAAAAACCACATAATTAAAACAATCCTCGTGCAGGGCTGGTCGTCGGAAGGTTAAGGAAGCAGTAAAAATGGAGACGTCTCTCAAAACCCTAGTCATAAAACAGTTTTTATTCCTAGAGTAATAACGAGAAGTAATGAGATAAATAGGAACAGTGAAGAAACGGTTATCGAAGAGAAAATAGTTTTTTTCGCATGCCTATAAAAAACACCGGCGACTGGCAAAATAATCGGTCGATAGAACTTTAAATTTACATTAAAAATTCACTTTTATATGGGTTTTATAATAAATAAGAAAAAAGAGCTTTTTTAATGTTTGAAGTCGTTAAAAATTGAAAAAAATAAAGTCGGGAAATAAAAAAATAAAAATGTTTGCGCGTGGGATTGCGTGCTTTAGGTGCTGACACCGCGACGGCAAAATACACATTCCCTGAAATTTTCCCCGAAATTTTTGCTGTCTGCCCTCCTTTAAACATAAAACTGATAAAAAACTCAAAACATATCTTTCGTGAAATTTTGAGCATCAAAAATACATGTTCAGTAGAGTTATCGCAAAAATGCCGACATACCTTTTGTGCTCTGAGAATCATAACTCGAGAGCCCGACTTCCAAAGTCCTTCGAAACTTTTTTTATGCATATTTGGACACTGAAAATCATTTGATATTCAAAATCAAAGCCAGAAAAAATTCTGAAAAAAGTTTTTTTTGGATTCTCGGACCACTGTTACATCTGAAACTGCTCTGAAAATTCTAAAAATGAGAAATTTTCAGAAAACCGATTTTCATGTTTTTGGAGTTCACAGCTACTCTCATGCAAAATTTCAAGTCAATTGAGCGATTATGAACAAAGTTATGAATGTTCGAAAAAAATCTCCTCACCACTTCTCGCCACTGTACATACTTAACTCTAATCTCCAGCTTGGTGCTACTTACCACGGACCAGAATAATTTCAAACTTTTGATAATTTGATTGAAGAGTTCGTGTTCCACATTTCAAGTTCTGACATTTGGAATATGGGATATAATGGTGGACGCATTATCTTGCACTCTTATTGGATTCCTTTGCAGACTAAAAATATTATATAGCGCAACTCGTTAAACTAAGACACCTTGCCTTTTAATATTTTTCTTAACAAAATTTCTATACGGTGGAAAAAATATCATAAGAAGAATCATATTCAATGATGAATGAGTGGCAAAACAAGCGATCCCGATTTCTGCCCAAAATTGACCGTCAATATTCTCCGCTGCCAATGAAATTCCAAATAATAAAAGAGGGAGTGCGGCTATGCCAACCGCGATAGATTGGACCAGAAGACATCTCATTGCTTCAGAATGTTTCCGATAGTTTTTGGGCGAAATCTTCAGTTTCAATACTTTCAATTTCTGGAAAATATCAATCACCACGAGAAGCAAAATAGTTGATCCAAAGAAGCCAAAGCCTATGAGGAATTTTGCTATAAATATTATCTTTTCTCCGTCCATGACCTCAAACTCCTGTAATTGCTGGAAGCTACGAATGTACTCAGGATAGTTCTGAAAATGAAAAAAGTGAATACTATAAAATCCGTTTCCCTACCAGTTCAATATAAATCCATTTATCTTTCTCATCAAAACATGCTGAGTACAGCACTATCTCAAAAGCAATAAGAACAATTCCGAACACTAAAAAGATAATCCCATTCACGAATTTTGGAATAACAAATGAATTCGATATCGACGAAACTGATTGATGCTTCAGTAAAAATGTGTTAGCCAACACTGAAAATTGCGAAATGCTAAGACCACAAACAATACATGTTAGAGAAACAGAAGGAATTGAAAACCATTTTGATAAAACTCCCATTGAATAACCGGCGATTATTGGGTACAAAGGAACGGGTTGCATAAGTAAAGTGAACTGTAAATCTGTGGCAAAACACATTAGTTGATAAGCCAATAACCAGTAACGGAAACTTCCTATCGCATTGCATTGATAAAGCAAGAGATAGATCCCAAGGGTGTTCATGATAACAGAAACACCGCCTATCAGATGATAGTAGAAAATAAGCCATTCGGGTTCCGTAAAGTCTATAAGGTACATCTCGTATGAGAGTTTTTTATTGAAGATCGGAAATGAAAAACGGAGGTTTGGCAGGTGAAGTGCCAGTATTTTATTCTCAGGAGTGTTTTTTAATACGCTAAAAAATCATTAAAACACTTTTTAGGTCTGACATATGATGTCTTTATGATTTATACCCGCAATAATGAAAGCATGTGAAGGACAAAAATCATTTTTTTTTAATTAAAATTAAATCTCCCTGTCTTTTTCTTCTTTTATTACTGACAAAGGAAGTGTTTTCAGAGGGGCTCTGAAAATCTTCGTCTGAAAACTTGAGCCTGATTTCGGCGTGGCTTTCCCCTCTCTTCTACACGCCCTCCGCGTGAGAGCGAAATGTCGGCTGTGTGGTGTTGTGGTAAGAGACTCATTAGGAGTAACTATGCTGGTTCGACCCCCACTGTGGCTAAACTTTTTTGGCGTTTCTAGCAATACTCAAGAAGTTTAAGTAAATAACCAGTATCTGAAGCTTCCGAGTTTCTGACATTGGAATATTAAAAGATAAACTCCAAGTGTGTTCAAGATTATAGAAATCACGCTTATAGTGTGGAAGTATGAAATAAGCCATGAAGGTGTAGAAAAGTCCAATACGTACATTTCCGACTGAAAAATCGAGTCAAATCTTCAAAAACCGAATGGTTAGCAGGTGTCTCGAGGCTCGTAGTCAGCTCAAAATAAAAACGAGATGTTCCACCTGTCAATTACCTGCTATTTTCTATTACCTTAAACACACTTAGAATTGATAGAATTCAGATTCACAGATCACCCTTATAATGTAACCTTGACCATTATTCGCTATACGCTGATTATACACTGGATATTCGGTTGGTACCTGATTCCAATTGTTCAGTGTTCAACCAGTAAATTCTTCTGTTAGTCCAGCTTTTATCATTGCACAATGTTGATAATTCTCTTTGTCAAAAAATATTGAGCTCGCCCAAGAACTTAACAACCTTAACCGGAAGACGAGTACAATATTCAAAGGATTGTTGATTTTTTGGTTTAGGCAGCGGAGTAAAAATCAGAAGAGTTGTTTCCAAAAAATCTTCTCAAAAAATTAAGAAAATTTTATTTAAGCAATTTCATCACAAAAAAGGCTACAAAACACATTTATTGCTGAGCAGAAAATTCAAGTTGCCACCGTAAATGCAGCACCGTTTGGTTGGAATCTCGAATCGCTCTCAATACGGTCCTTTCTTGAAAACTTGGAGCAAAACATTCGAACCAATGCCATTCGATACGGTTGGTGTACAAAAATCATAATCAATGTTGAAAAAAGACCATGCGTCGTTGTGATAACAATCACTACATTCATGTAAGCTTGGTTATAATATTCGTAAATTATAACAACCGCCGAGTAGGCCAATGGAATCACCAGCATAAGAGAAGGAACCACCATTTGGATTACCAACGCGACTAGAAATTTGATTTGGAGTTTTAGAGTAGTTTTAGATATTCTTTTGGATTTCAGGTTTTTTATAATGTAGACTTCAAGGTGGGTACAAAAAATGGTGGCTTCCATAAGTCCAAAAGCAAGCAATGTACTCAGTACTCCTACAGTATAAGTGTAGTCCTCAGCTAGAGTGAATATTTTCGCTTGGTGCACGTAGTCAGAGACACAGGGAAGGGTCTGAAAATATTTTAAATTTTAAGATATACCAGCCTTTTAAGATATACCAGCCTTAGATAGAAAGCATGGCGTTTTAGAAACTTTCACTTTTAACAGTTATTTAATTTCAGTCAAAAGAATCTTCAATTATCCAGATTACCATTGTAGCTTGACAAAAACTTTATTTTAAGACAGATCCCGTTAAATTACCTCTAGAACTTTTTGTTTGGTTTTTTCTTGATCTGGAAGTGAGAAAGCCATCGGGATGAATAAAATCACAGCGAAAATGTAATGGGCTGCTAGCCAAGGTTTTCTGATTTTTTCCCATGTTGGTTTTGGAGGGAACGCGCAAATTATGAAATATCGGTTTTCGAATATACTTAGATTGGATAACAGAACATCTGAAAATAACTTACATGGACAGTCGAGAACACCTATCAACTTACTGATGACCGCCAACAGAACCAGAACCGCCATGAAAAACTCGTTGACACCAAAGTATGATAAAAACCCTAGTGTGTACCCCGACAATCTTGGAAATAGCAAAAATGGGATTGTTAAAAATCCCAGAGAATTATCATAAATCATGATCCAAACATGCAGATGTAAAATATACCATTTCACAGAGTCCATGGTTTTTGGTGTCTTGAAAAAGATTATAAAAAGTCCCAGGATATGTATAGGAAATGATACAGCAGTTATCATATGGACCGTTCGGGATAAGAATTCGGGAGTTCCATAGTAGCTAGTAGTAGGGATACAGGTTAGATTCGACATGCGAAAGAAGAAGAGGAAGTTAGCAAATTTTAGAGAAACAAATTTTAGAGAAAAATTTTCAAGGCAAGAAGTATGTTTAACTACTTTCCGTAAACATAATTCAATTTTGCACCTTTTACGCATTTTTTTTTCAAAGAAAAAAGTCGATCGCCGGAAATAGAGACATTTTCATGTGCTTCTTGATGGACATTCTATAGAAACAATTTGTAAACTTCGAACGATGAAATTTGATTCTTTATCACCTGTAATAATCATCGTTGAGAAAATACCATGTGTCGTTTGAATAGCAATCGCAATATTAGCGTAAGCTTGGTTAATAACCAATGGTTATGGTAATTGAAAACTATTACAACCACATCATAAGATAATGGAATCACCATCATAAGAAGCGGAGCCAACATTTGGATAACTAAAGCAATTATAATAGAAATTTGATTTGAAGTTTTTGAGTAATTTTGGATATCTTGTTGGACTTTAGGATTTTAGCAATGTACATTGCAAGGTATGTACAAAAAACGAAGGCTTCTATAATTCCAAAAGCAAAAAGTGTGCTCATTATTCCTAAATGATAGCGTGGTCCTCAGTCAAAGTGTATATTTTCGCTTGGTGCACGTAGTCAGAAACGTTGGTAAGAGTCTGAAAGTACTTGAAAACGTCGGTTGATCCAAGTAAAAATATGTCTGGAAACATTCCAATGGCCTTTATTTAAGTAAAAATTATTTTCTATTTTTTAAAGGACCATTATAGTTTGGAAAAAAACTTTACCTCTAGAACTTTTTGTTTGGTTTTTTCTTGATCTGGAAGTGAGAAAGCCATCGGGATGAATAAAATCACAGCGAAAATGTAATGGTCTGCTAGCCAAGGTTTTCTGATTTTTCCCCAGGTTGGTTTTGGAGGGAATGCGCAAATTATGAAATATCGGTTTTTGAATATACTTTGATTGGATAACAGAACATCTGAAAATAACTTACATGGACATTCGAGAACACCTATCAACTTACTGTTGACCGCCAACAGAACCAGAACCACCATGAAAAACTCGTTGACACCAAAGTATGACAAAACTCCTAGTGTGTACCCCGACATGGTTGGAAGTAACAAAAAAGGAACTGTTAAAAATCCCAGAGAATTATCATAAATCATGATCCAAAAATGCAAGTGTAAAATATATGACTTCACAGAGTCCATGGTTTTTGGTGTGCTTAAAAAGATTATAAAAAGCCCCAGAACATGCATAGGAAATGATACAGCAGTTATCATTTGGACCGTTCGGGTTAAGAATTCAGTAGCGCAATAGTAGCTGTTTGAAGGGATGCAAGTTAGACTTGACATTCAGAGAAATGCCTTCGAATTTTATATTTCAAAAAACAAAAAAAATTATTGGTGAGCTGTCGAAGAAGAAAAACTGATTTTTTTCACCTGTCAGATTATATTTTCCAAAATCAATTTTACTAAAAAATCGAAATGAATAGGTTTCGAATGCTTTAAAAAATTTGAAGGAAGCATGACATTCAAAAAAAAAATAGTTTCCTAGATATTTTGGCTAGGGAGCCCCCATGAGGAGTTGAACTTATAAGACGATCAGGGTTACATCGCCGCTACAGGCTAAGCCACACAGGCGTGAAAGCGGCTGCCGACTGATAAGCTCGGCGAGGTTTCGTTAGTGGCTGGAAAAATCGGTCGTACTTATCTGAAAGTTCTTTTTTTCCGAAAAAGTACATCTCGGCATTTTTTGTGGCTCATCTCATACCCATCCAAATAAAGAAGTCCAAATATTTTTCGATTTGCGGCCTTTCTTAAAAATGATACTCGAAGTTATAAATAAAACAGTTCATTTAGGTTACATGCACATGATTTGAATTGGATAATGACTCAACTAATGGACAAATTTATTAAAATTCAACCAAAATCAAAAAGTTCTTCTTCTTCATCTTTGTTTGTCGCTAGGGTCGAATCTTCTGGACCATCTTCATAATTCACAGGTTCCACTTGACGGCTTGTTAGCTCAAGAACTTATAGTTAGAGTTATAAAACCTTTAGTTTTTGACCTAAATTACCTTTTGACCTAATCTCTTTTTTGATCTGCACTTTGATGTCATACGTTTTCTCAATAAACTTCTGATCTAAAAAAATTTCCACGAGTTGGAAAATATTTCGAAATCCCTCTTGTTATCCATGTCTAGCTTATCCAATTTTCCTGCGTCTCCCATTCACCAGAATATGATTTTTTGGCCTTTCCTCTATCCAACGTGACTTACTGAAATGATGTGTGTATGTGTACGCCCGTTGCTATGAGCAATGCCATATAATGTCGTGTGTCTGTGATTAAATCCGCCGTTTTCTTCCATTCTGTCATGAGAAACCTTTATTTTCCTTTTTCGTTTTTAGTATCAACTGGAGTGCTTGAGACTAGTCCAACGCTAGATATGAATTTAACTATTTTCAAAATCTGGATTTTTTGTGTTTTGGTTTTTTTTCAAGCTCTTATCCAGACAAGAAAAAACATATTTACTCGTTTTCTTTTTGGTATTCTTAAAAAGTTTTTGTTCACTAGAATCTTATTGAATCAAAACAGATTAGTTTGAAAACTCTAAAATTCTAATACAAGGCCACGCTTTACGTGCACTTTAAGCTCAATTATCTTAAATTCTATAGTAGGGTTTCCATTTGGGCGGGTGAAGATGTGGGCCACCCACCCGGGGGGCTTCCACCCGCGGCCCCCCGCGGCCCCCCGCAATTAAATGCGTGTGAATTTTGATAAAATTTTCAAGGATAATCACGTATTTTCCAAGAAAAACTGAGTTTCTCAAATAAAAAAACTACAAAAAAGATAATATTTTCCTCACGTAAATATTCGCGGGGAGTCAACGGGGGGCCGCGGGGGGTGAGCCCCCCGGGTGGCTGCGGGCGGGTGAATCGCCCCCCAAATGAAACCCTATTCTTTAGGAGGTATCAAAAACTAATAAAATGTTGGTGATATTATGACAAACATTTTATCAGTTGACACATTTTCGATATCTCCTATAGAAATTAAGAAATTAAGCTCGAAGTTAAAAGCTAGGGGCTCTTCTATTAGAGTTTTTAGTTCCGCTATCCAGCAATCCAAAATAGCGCCAAATGTTTTTCATGACGTCTTCTTCCAATGACGGATTTCATACATGCTCCTACTTCCAACTAACAGAGTTTCCCAAATTAAAAAGAAAACATATCTTTTACATTTGGTTGGCTGATTTCAAATTTGAATAACAAGCTCTAATGATGTGTTCTGATTCTTGTGAGTCAGCCTTTCGGCACCTGACTACTGATTGCTGTTTGTGCTCATTTCAGCTTTTCTCAAATCTCACTTTTTTTCTGAATTTCCAGGAACCCTCAACTTCAAACGCAAAATGGGTCTTACTTGCGGAGACATCCCGAAGTTCATCTGCGCTCTCATTTTCCCGGTATGTGATTCTTGGATTACTGTATTTTTCACCTAAACCATTTGTTTCCAGCCAATCGGAGTGCTCATCGAGACCGGATGCGACAAACATCTCGTCATCTGCATCTTGCTCACTCTTCTCGGATACCTTCCAGGAATTATCTACGCGTGCTACGTCATCATTGACAAGTAAACCTGTCCCCCGGCCGCCCAGAAACTGCTCCAAGAAACTGATATGTCCCCCAAAACGTACCCTGTCTGAACCCCTTGATCTCTGCTCTCATGTTTTCCTCTTTTTTTGAATATCTGTACTTTTTGGGAAATCAATTCATCAATTCATTATTTTTCAAGAATAAAACAGTGCTGATACAACAAAAACAATTCTCTCGGGTTCCATTTCTTTGAATTTTTCTAAAATCAGAACTGGTCCAGAATGATTTCTGGAAAAAAGTGGGCTCTAGTATGAAATTCTGGTCCTTAAAAAAAATTCTGGTCCTTAGAAAAAATTCTGGTCCTTAAAAAAAATTCTGGTCCTTAAAAAAAATTCTGGTCCTTAAAAAAAATTCTGGTCCTTAAAAAATTCTGGTCCTTAAAAAAAATTCTGGTCCTTAAAAAAAATTCTGGTCCTTAAAAAAAATTCTGGTCCTTAAAAAAAAATTTTGGTCCTTAAAAAAAAATTCTGGTCCTTAAAAAAAATTCTGGTCCTTAAAGAAAGATGTGGGTATTTGAATAGCTTTCATGTTTTTGTTTGAAAATTTGGTTAGATTGAAACGTTTATTTATTTTAATCATGTTTTCAATAGTTTTGATGTTTTAAAAATAATTTTTTTTGTAATTTTGATTTTTATTCAGAAGAAGGTATAAGACTAAAAGGTGTGGCATATAAGAATTAGAGAGGATAAATAGTTCAGAACACAAAAAAAAGAATATCGGTTGCAACAAGATGATCTTATCCGCGTCCTTTGAACTTCCTTCGGCCGGTGAAAGTGGATTTTAGAGTAGTGGTTGTGAATCTTGGAGTAATGGTAGTCGATCTTGGAGTGGTGGTAGTGGGCCGCCCGCGTCTTCTTCTATCATTCCGAGTCTTCTGAGTGGTGATGGTTGTTTGTCTCGTTTCAGGGGCAGACGTCGTCCGTTTCGTACGAGGTTCTGTCGTGGTTCGTCTCGACTGATGGGAAGTTGTTCGTCTTGTTCTCATGGTGGTCGTGGTCCTCATGGTTGCTGTGGTTGTGATGGTGGTTGTAGGATCAGCTTTTCGACTTTGTGTCTTCTTCCGAGGTTTTCGAGTTTTGGTCGTCGTTTGCCTTGGTGTAGTTGACGAAATTGGTCTGTTGGTTTTGATAATCATTTCTGGCTTAGAAGAGGTGGTGGTTCTCATTGTAGAAGCGGTAGAAGAACTTCGACGATCGTTTCTATTTCGATTCAAACGAGCAGCCATTGTGGTTTGTCTTGTTGAAAATGTAAAGGCGCGATTGTTTCTTTCATTTCGTTGTTTGGGAGCAAATGAAACTCTATCAGAATCGAACTGTTTTCTTTTTCTGAAGATTTTCGTGGTCGGTGCTTCAGTCAATTGATCTTCCTCTTCCTGTTCATCTTCGTACTCATCTTCCTGATTCTTTTCCTGCTCCTCATCCTGCTCCTCATCCTGCTCCTCATCCTGCTCCTCTTTTTGTCTCTCATCCTCGCCTTCTCCCTCCTGCTCTCCGTTTTGCTCTTCTTCCTGCTCTCTCTCCTGCTCTTCCTCAAACTCTGGTTCATCTTCGTTTTGGATATCGTCATCATCATATTCATCATAATGATCATAACCATCATAATCGTCATAACCATCATAATCATCATAGACATTATTATCATCAACTGTACCATCTGCTCCGTCTTCATCATCGTCGTCTCCATGATTCGGGTCGCTGGAATCGGACTCGTCTTCACCGCCGTCGTAATCAGAGCTTTCATCCGTGGAGATTTCAGATTCACTTGAATCATAGTCATCTTCTTTCTTATAATACTTCATCTCGATCAGAAGTTGGTTCAGAAGTTTTTTTTTAAAGAAGTAGCGTCTAAA